GAGGGGCTTCCGAAATTAGGTTCGTGGGGCGGTCGGGAAAGGTGCTCAAACACGAAGAGGGAGCGATAGATAAGGCAGCTAGACGACGGCAGAGTGATGAGTCGGGGCCCAAAAGATAGACAACAGAAAGACCAGATGTCTTCAGATGCAGAGAAGATGGGTGGCCACACCAACAGCGATTCACAAGTGGAACATGTTTCTGGGATTGGCTTTGGAGGAGGTTGGCGACCGAAAGTCACCCGCCGCTGGCTTTCCCTCCCTCGGTCACGTGGCGATCGACCAGCCTCGACTCCCTTCAGTGTTTCTTCAACTTCTTTACATGGGACTGACATGGTTATATAGGATAACGACGCTTTCATGCTACGATTTGAACAGTCGTGGCTACTGTGGATATAGCCTCATCTCTTTTAGAACAAATCTCGGATCACCCGGGACCATTCGCCTTCATCTCCAAGCACTCCCGAGAGCCCCTCCCCCGTGTTCTGGATTTCACCATCATGACCTACAAACCCATTGATTCCCTCGGCCGGTGTCCCGGAAGCCATAAAGTTCCCAAACCCGCCTACTGCCTCAAATAGATTCGTGAGCTCATGGCTCATCTGCAGCCCGTTGAGAGGGCTGTTGCCAAGCTCGCCGATCGCATTCATCGGGCCATACACCGACAAGTCTTCAATTTGGTGGCCAGCTAACCCAGCCATGGCCACCGCTGCACTTGAATGGGGATCATTAGAGTCAGACCCAAAGGGCCGCATAAGCACTCCCAGCCGTTCTCCGATCTTTCGGAGACCTTTGATAGCCTTCCAGAGACGCTTTGACACGTAGGACTTTGTGCTGAACCCGCTGATCAAATTCAGTGCCATGTAGAATTCGTCCCGCACCTGTCGGTTGAACTCTGTCGGTGCATGGCAGACAGCAAGGAAGATGACCGCCAAAGCAGCCACGAGGAAGTAGTTGAAGGTGATCTGTTGGCTGCGGTAAATGTCGGATGTCTGATTGAGTCGAGTGAGCACGCGGATAGTGTCTTTTGCGACATCCACCACCGTCTGAGCATGGCCCTTATCCTCGGCAATACTTGCTGCGGAGTGCAGGACGGGGCGGTAGATGAGGATTCGGAGCTGATTCATGCGGAGATACAGTAGAACCCTTAGTCGCCTCAGGCCCCGGTTCGTCGACTCCACATGACCATTCTTTGGAGATTCGATTGGATAGAATTTCAAAGCATCTGGGACTTGCTTGTACCACTGCAGGATCTGGTAATCCAGATAACCTATCTCGTCCCGACGTATATCCGTTGCACCCTCAGAGCCCAGCCCGGAATACCAGATCTTCGAGCTAATGCGATTGTATGATATCATTGATTTCAGATACGGCAATGAAGCATCCTAGGGGGCAATTAGCAGCCGACCAATAAAGTCTTTATAAACGATATAGCTCACAGGCTCCGGGAGGTTAGGGTCGATGTCTTCATCCTGAATGTTGAAAGGCAGCCCTGTCCCGAGACTCCACCGGCGATCCAGACTGTAGATTGTCCAGAAAGTCTTCACTACGGCAGGCCATTGTTCTTCATCCGGGAACATTTTGTTCAGGGCATCACGCCGATGCAGACCCATCTCAAGACACATGCGTGCGGCCAGGCCGATGATGCGATAAGCCATGGCATCATCGTCCATGTGAAAATGGAAAGTTGCCTGTTGTTCAAATTGTTAGCGCAACCCAACTGTATAGAGTGATATACCTACAATCATGCCATATATCTGGATGGTCTTGATGTCGAGCGTATCCCAGAGTTTGGATTCAGCTATTGGCTTCACGCTCAGATACAGCCGCTGTCCGAGCTCGCTTTGGCCACCTCCCTCCACGATCAGTGTTATAGCAAGTATCATCTTCAATAGAACCGTGCTGTCATCAGTAAGACCATCAGCACCAGGCAACCCCCGTTGCGCAAACCCCGTGCGTATCGCTGATTCCATGAACGTGTATAGCAGGTTCACTTGCTGGGCGATATGGTCTATATCTACTAGCGGATACATGATACCAATCTCCTCTTCGTAGACACGACACAGACGCAAAGCTTCATCTCGCTTGATGGACCATATGGGATCCTTGGTAGGGTGCATCGTGAGAAACGACGGGCCCACATGGGGAGGAGAGCCAGCTGGTGTGACCTGGGCCGTGGTCAAATCGTCTGGTATGACTTCCCCTGGCGGAGCGATGCCCATATTCTGTAGACTAGACCTTGCGACATCAAAGTTAAAAGCAGAGCTGGTAGGCCCCTGGAACCGGGGATGCCTTATGCGTGGTTTGCTCAACGGGGCTTGCATAGGCGTGAACACCGACTGCGAGCCATCACGAGAGAAGGCGTCGAAGTTTGGAGAGTCGATGGACGATCTTTGCGACCGAAGATCTTTAAGATTGGTAAAAAGACTATTTACCTGATCCTGCAATGTCTTGATTTGGTCTGTCATCGACCGGAATTCCCTGGTGGTGGAGAACTGGTTAGCTGAGGATCATGATAACATACTGCAGGGAACGAAGCTGGAAATAATGATCGACGTACTCGGAATCTTTAAAGTTGTTATTGCAGCAGTTTGGGGCATATCGACCTATGGATATGGTAAGTCGCGTTTGCCATGTGTATCACGGAGCTACAGCGATAAGCTGACTGACATTCGAGGTTAAGGTGTCCACAGCGTTGGCAGGGGACCTGGCCATTGCATTTGATCTTCCGCCTCTTGCATTCGTTACTAAACGGGAAATACAGAATTAATCAGCTAACAGATAAGAGAAAATATGCTAAGCCAGTGACAAGAGGGTTCAACATGGGTGGATGGCAATGAGCCGGATCATACCACGCGATGGAGATGTAGCGATTCCGCTTGGAACGAGTATGAGTTCCGTTGGCCGGTTCCGCTTTCCTCTTCGCGGTATCAGCGTCCGGCGTGGCATTCTGGTCGCCAGAATCTGGCTGGGGTGGTGCCATATCAACCTGCGGCGACTCCGACGACATTTTGAATGGAAATCAAGTTGGGACGATTGGTTGTTGGCGCGAAAGAGAGCAGCGACCGGTGCGGAGGGATTCCTTTCGTTTGCTCGATGGCGCGCGGGGTTTCCGTTTCCCCAGATGGCCGGACCGGGAAGGGATCGCCGACGAGGAGATTCACATCCGGCGCTTTTATTCTTATAAGCTAATGGAAAAGGCTCCTGGCATAAAGTGGGTAGGTACAATGTAGCTGATCCTGATGGTGGTCAAATGACAGGTCGGCTGTTTGCCGTCTAGTTTCCAATTGGGTTGTGAAGGTAAAAAGACCGAGCGAGATCTGTCCATGGTTTATCTTCAGCACCAGCTGACATGGCATCCTTATCAGCCCTTGCTTGTACTGTTGACAAATCCACTAGTTATGGCTTTTCCTGATAAACTATAGGTAAACACATCCTAAGAGATCTAGTAGATGAAGTCACCAGTAAATTGAAATGAAGGATAGAGAACGATAGGATGAAGAGCTACGAAGGGCGTTAGGCTGACCGGCAACTGGTCAATCCCAGTCGGGGCGGAAATTCCCCGATCTGCACCTTGTCAAACCGCACGTGCAGCAGCAATCCAAGCATCACTGAACAGTGGATACGGAGCTTTCCCAACCCACGTCTCTGGATGACTGAACACTTGGTCTTCTGAATGAAGCTCCAACAATGTCTGCCCAACAATAACCTCAGGGTTTGGCACCGTCTGTCGTCCGTCACCCTCCGGTTCTCTTCAAACCAACCACGCCAACAACGCTGCTTTACCTCCACGACGTCCCGTCCATATCGCCCCCTAGATACCCTCAACGATGTCGACATAGACGACTTCCGCAAGAACTACTTCACTCCGGAACGTCCTACAATCCTTCCTCGGGGTTCCTTTCGCGATTTTCCTGCCTTTGAGCGTTGGTTCCAGCCCGCTCCGACCGACCCAAATGTATCTCAACTGAATACAACATACCTTGCCCAACATGGGGCCGACGCCTTCGTTCCGCTGGAACTCACACAGCCATCCTCCGACGGTACCGCCGAGACAGGAGCAGACGGGCTCACCTTCCAACAATTTCATGCGCCGCTGAGTTTGTTCCTTGACTGGATTCGTACAGCAGAGACGCTCGAGACACAGTCCGCTCGGTTATATCTAGCGCAGTGCCAGCTCCTAGATCTACCGCAGGTACTCCGTGATGACATTCCAACACCCGAATTAGTAGCGCAGGCCGGAAAAGGTGACGTTTACGACACCAACGTTTGGATCGGACACCCGCCCACGTATACTCCTCTCCATCGGGACCCGAATCCCAATCTTTTCGTTCAGCTCGCGGGACAAAAGGTAGTGAGGCTATTATCGCCTGGTGATGGACAGAAGGTATTCGGGGTCATAAGACGGCAGCTTGGACGGAGCGCAGGTCGCGAGGCGGCTGCGATTCGAGGCGACGAAATGATGCAGGGTCAAGAAAGGACACTATTGGAGCAGGCCGTCTGGGATGAGGTGAAAGCCGTGCCGGGGCTAGACGGGTATGAAGTACATCTCGAAGCGGGGGATGGGATGTTCATTCCCCGGGGATGGTGGCATAGTATCAAGGGCGTAGGAACAGGGGTGACAGCGTCGGTAAGTTGAATTAAGTGTGCGCCTATGACTGTTTCTGACTTAACCATCAACAGGTGAACTGGTGGTTCCGCTAATAATCAGCGTGTGATGGATACCTAAGTAGACTTGTAGATATGGTAATGTTCGGGGCTGCATCTATATCGAAACGGATACAAGCTACACTAATACAACAAGACAGAAAGAAAAGTAAACTAAATACCCAGTATAAGCCCGATAATATGCATTAAACACAACCCAATCTACATAACCCAATAAATACAGTCAAATGGACAATCCGAACCCCCAAGACCATAGAACAAACCCAACGTTCTAGAATCCTCTTTTCGACTCCGCCCGCCTTCACTCCACATCCCAAGATTTCGCCAACGACATCATCACCCTTCCTCTCAATTTCTCTTAATCAACCAAACCTCCCTCACACCACCACAACCAACCCACCAACACAAAAAGAAAAAGAAAGCTAGAATATAATGTACATGTCCTCCACCCTCACCCGCGCCTCACTCATCAACCTCCTCCTCACGACGACCGCCCGCATCGCACCCGCAACCGCAACACTCACAACCACAACCACAACAACCACAAGCTCCTACTACACACCGCGCCACTTCCTCCACCAAGCAACCCTCCCTCTCCACCCTCACTGCTCAGCAATCCACCTCTACAACAACACCATTACCAATAATAATAAATACCAAAACCAGCAAAGCACTCACTACTCCACAATGAGCACGTCCAACGAGCAACAAACCCAACAAACCCAACAAGAACATGAACAAAGAGATGAGGGAAAGAAGCCCATCCTTGCTCTCCCGGACGCCGAATCAGCCACGAAACTTGACGTTAGCGGGGACGGATCAGCAGTTGCATTGGATCACTTGGGTCCTGTGGTGGTGAATCAGGATGGGACGTTGTCGCGCATCTCGAATTGGGAGGCTATGACGGAGATTGAGAAGAAGAATACGTTGAGGGTGTTGGGGAAGAGGAATAAGATGCGGTTGGAGGCGTTGAAGAGGGAGAGGGGGGAGGGGAATTAATTCGGTGTTGTGTTTTATTGTGTCGTTCGGGGTTGTAGTGGTGGATGGTAGATGATAGATGGTAGAAGGTGGAGATTGAAGATTGGGGGGTGTATTTATATCACGTTGGAAAGGGTGGGATATACGTGTGTTTTGTATGATATTTGATCTGTTCGGGTTACGCTGTAGCGATTTCATTGTTTATTTTCAGTGTTTATTTGGTGTCATCCGCTCAAGGAAACGAAAGAGAAATGAACTTCTATCCAAATAGCCTCCCAGGTTTTTCTCTATGCGTTGTCTCATGATGCTAGTCTAACCAAAGACCATATCGTTGAATCTCGTGAAAGCGTTACTGTGTGCGATCGTTAGCTTCCTGGCCTCCGTCAGCATGCGAGGGATACTCACCTCGATGGTTCCTCAACATAATTCCTGGTATAAACTTCCACTTCTTCTACTCCAGTGACGATATCAACTTCCTTAGGACTCAAGAACTTTGTACGATGCCAGAGTTTCCATCCCACGTAGATAACAGGGAACACCCCAATCATAGTATACGAGAAGAAGAAAGTCGGAATGTCCCAGTTGCCGGGTAGAAAGACCGTGTAGCCGCCCACGAAGGTCATGACGAAAGTCGAGACCAGGGCAATGTACGCGACATAGGGCTGGCCTCGGCTCTGATAGGGGAGGGATGCGCGAGGGACACCCTGTGCCATGAGAGCTTTTCTAAACCGGGTGTAGGTGAAGGTAATAACGGTAAAGTTGATCAATTGGGATGCAGTGACCTGGTTTGTTTTTTTTTATAAGTATCTGCAGACGAAGTAGGTGATAGGCGACTTACAAGATTAACAAACCAATTCAGCACGACAGCTGAACCGTTAGAGACCTGAAGGAAGGACAACAGCGCAAACACGAACACTATCAAGACGCAGTATATCGGCACACCGGATTTTGTACATTTCGTGAGAAGGCGCGGAGCCTTGCCATCCAGAGCAAGGCCGTACAGACTTCTGCTGGCGCAGTAGACATAACTGTTCCCGGCACTGAAAGCAGCGAGGAGGACCATGGCATTGACGATGTGTGGCAGGATGGGGATTTTCAGCCGGTCCATGGCGACAACATACGGTGATGCAGCTGCACCAGGCAGGTCTTGCTCATATGCAGCAGCCAGGTCGGGATCATTGTAGGGAACCAAGATACCGATGCAAAGCACACCAAGAACAAAAAAGGTGGTGAGTCGATAGAAGATGCCATTGTACGCTTTGGGCAAGATTTTGCGGGGGTTGACTGCTTCGCCGGCAGCCATAGAGACGTAGTCTGGACCGGCAATCGTGAAACTGGCTTGGATGAGGCAAGCAAGGAACCCGAGCCATCGGCCTAGATCTCCAGTCTTGTAGTATTCGGCAAAAGCCCCGGGGTTCTTCCAGTAGCGGAATCCAAAGCGATCGCCAAGAGGGTTGCCTCCGAGCATCACAATAAATGTGAAGAAGATCAGGCCCACACTAAGCAAGACCTTGCTCAGGGAAAGCCAGAATTCGGCTTCGCCATACCACTTCACTGCAAAGATGTTGAGTAGCCTGATACTTGTTAGCTTGCACTGTTTCAAGTTGCACAGGAAGTATGCTTTAATCCAGAGCATAACATACGCGAAGAGCACAAGCACAATTACAATAATCGCAGCGACAGGGACTGCATCGCTCCAGTAAGTGATGATCAAGTTACACGCTGTAACTTCAAATGGCACCATCGCGGCTTGAAAGATGAAGAAGTTGTAACCGGCAGCAACGCCAAAGGCCTCGTCAACATATCGAGTTGCAAAGCGGATAAAGGGCGAGGAGATGGGCAAATATGTGACCATCTCAGCCAGGCCTAACATAGATCTTATCTTAGTGGAAAGCTACTTCAAAGGGAACAAATCCGCGGGCCAAATTGTTGCGACGGAATCAGAGAGGCCATTGGGAAATCGGCGCTTTGGGACATGCAGACAAATCGCACAGGTCGCAAATGGCAGCTTTGGTGTCGCTAGCGGCATGAAGAGAATTGGGAGGGCTTCAAGATCGCAGGGTAAGGGAATCCGTACAAACAGTTATACATAGAATGACAGCGGACCTATATCAACGAGGTATAAGATTCCATGTATTTAGCAGCAATATGCATAAGGTAAGGCCAGACAATCCCGGAATTCTGCTGTCTCTAGGGTGAAGCACACATCAGGAACAAGGAAGCAGTTGACACTGCTTGGTCTACGCATAGTGCATGGGGTATCTGATGTTCACCAACATCCTTGTAGCTGCTGATGATTGGGCGAAAGCAGGTTCTTGTACTCCAGTTTGTGCTTCCGACTCAAGAAACTTACCTATGAACGAGACCCTTCGAGACAGCTCACAAGATGAGAAGTGCAGCACCGTGAGGGAACAACAAAAGACAATGGAAGAACGCGGTAGGAGTAGGACTAACCAGATAATAAATGCAATGAAGAGACTAGCAGGGCCACCTTCTAACAGTGCCTTGCCAATCTGGACGTACAACACGGTCCCGACTGTGCCACCGATACCAATGAGCTGGATATGTCTGGGCTTCAGCTTGCGGTGCGTATGATCGTAGGCAAGCTTCTTGGAATCATCTTCGAGTACTTCTTCACTGTCACGAACGACAGCATCCTTCTCAGAGCGGTCCATGGCGGCTTCTTTACGCTCTTCGCCTAGTCCATGAGGGCTGATTGTGGGGGAATGCCTCCCGGTGTGTATGGCAGATGTAAAAGCCATACTGTGGCTAAAATTCACCGAGCCCCAGCAGTGGACAAGTTAAGTAGAGAAAAGCAAACCCAAAGACATTAGACGATATATGAGGCACGAAGATAAGAGGAAAGGAAGTGAGCTACTTTGTAGAAAAAGAAAAAAGAAGGCGGGCGAAGGGAAACCGCGAACAAAAATGGTGGGCTAGCTAGACCGGTCAAGAACGGTTCTCGCCATGCGGATGTCCCTCATCATGGGGCATTATTCGGCAGAAGACATTTTAGTCAATTATGGTCTAGGGATAACTCGTGCAAAGGGAATCAAGGAGACAAATCACAGTACGGAAGCCGACTTTACGGCTTGGGCGACTCCATTGGGAGCCCCCACAATGGCGGACAGATACAGTTGTGCGTGGCGTTTGAGCAAAACATGGTGCTCGCTTTAACCTTGTCCTTACTTGCTATTTCTACCCTACTTGATGGTATTAATCCACGCTAACAACTACACTGCATTCTTCTATTGACTCAAATTTATGATGATTGATAAGAGAGCCGGAAGACTAGCCACACATAATATGTTTGTGTGCTAAGTCACACTGTATACGAACTTATCTGACCCTACGTAACCTTCTGCGTCGGGTATTATCTTGTAGATACAACACAGACAGATCGACCATCTAGGTGTCCAATCAGCTTGAAATAACATTTTCGTGTAACCCATGATCGGTGCCACTATTTGCCGTTGCATGAAAGCGATGGATATCCGTGAATACAGAATAAAAGTGCCAGGCAGCCACATCTGCAAGGTAGATGGCAGAACCCAAGACAATTGTATGCCAGGAAGGCATACCCCCGGATTTTTAGGTCTTCAAGCCTGACAGAGGAGGCGAAGTCGATGATAAGAGCCATCTAGGCTAAGACCAAATGTGGTAAAGCACATTAGTTGCGGCACCTCCGGATTGGTTCGCATGTATCAATGACTGCAGCCAGTCGCAGATAGTCAATAGCTGGTTGCAGCTGAGTAGTAGTATACTACCGAGCCAAATGGCACGCACGGCACATAAATGCCACGGGCAGCAAGGGACCCAAGTATGAGGGGCAGAAGGAAAAGTTGAAGTTAAACCTCGGCCGGGGATGTCCCACCCTAACTGTTTTGGGGAATTGCCGTGGCATTTAGCCGGGGAGTCACATGAGTGACTCCAGACTGTCAGTTGACAAGTCTGGTATGGACATTGGTGGCAGAGAGGCTTTTGTGAGACTGCAGGTTAAACAAGTTCTTCAAACTGTGCATTGCAGACCGTGAGACAGTTTAACTCAGCTACAACTAACCAACGAGGTAGTAGCAGCTAGGGCACCATAGGTCTGGCGCGATCTAGGCCGTACATGATACTAATCCCAGACTGACTAGAATGACAATACTAAGTAATCCTTGTTCCAACAAGCGCCCCTGTAATCGCCCCTTGAGATAGCATCTGCTGTCTTGCGAGCCTCTGTTCCTGCCTTCCCTGTGGCGACTTGTATCCGTGTGATCTCAAGACCCAGAAAGGGAGAACGGATTCAACGGACATGGTGCTAATTCTAAGCAATTTCCCATTCATTTCTGAACCTCGTAGTTTCAACAAATATGGAAAACTGTTCACGCCATGACGCCAGTAAGAAAGAACCCTTGATAAAAGCGAACGTCACAGTCGATTCATGCGAGGATATCTTATGTAATTGATCATATTCGCATCTCAGTTTGGGAATTTTTATCCGAGACCTTCGTACCGTCTCCATGTTGAGTAGGCGGTGCCTTCCCTAGCCAGGCTGGAGGGAAAAAGCCATCGTTGTCTTCGTAGTGGAGGTAATGCGACAGATCGGATTCCTCCGAGATCGATCTGCGGTCTCTTTCTGCATCATTGCCATGAGAGTCCCGAGCAAGGGATGGGGTCTGGATGGTTCTCGGCTGACTACTTTGCTGTGAGGACATTTTGTGCGCTATCTGGAAGTTTCTCGTGATAAATGCGATGACAATGATGATCAGAATGGATTATCCAGTTCTGCATGCACAAGATGCAACGGTTTGCAACACATATAGACAAAGATGGATGTCGCGTGTGATGCTTGCTTATATGATAGATACAGTTGGCCATCAGGCATCTTTGACGTCAGAACTAGTGGTGCCAATCACGGGGCTTCCAGAGTAGGCAATTCTCTACAGATGCGGAAAGGGGGCTCAGTCGCCAACCAAACTGTTGCGATCACGTTTCTTACAGATCGCTGACTTCCTGCATGCATAATTCAGAGCAACCACTGAGTCTGGCCCTGGACAGTAGGCGAGTCTTAAATCTACCTAAATTCAGGGACAGTGGATACTCCAGAAGATATCAAGAAGCCGAAGTCTCAAGAGCCAATGAAACTAATTGTAAAAGACACTTACTACTCATCCGAGAAGACGAGATGGGGACTGACGATAACATCACCGAGCCGCGGACGGTAGCTGCCAGACCTCGACCCACGGTTTCGCCGCTCCGAGCTCTCCCCGCCTGCCCCGCGCCTGTTTAACCGGCAACGAACCTCGTCTTTCCACAGCGTCTGCTGCAAAACAACAGCTTCCCAGCGAGAAACCTACTGGATAAAACTACCTGCACAATCAACAATCGTCACAATGGTCGAGCACGAGCCTGAGCCGAAGCGCTTCTCTCCCAAGATCCCCGTTCAGCTTGACCCCCCGAAATATGATCCCATAACCGTTGAGGAGCTGTCCAAATGCGATGGTGAGTTTTCGGCACTGCACCCCCAAGGACTGTTAGATCTGCTAGAAGTTTATATACTGATAGACTACAATTTCCAGGTACCGATCCTAACCGTCCCACCTTGGTTGCGATCAAGGGAATCGTTTTCGATGTGACTCGGAATCAGGCATACAGCCCTAGTGGACAGTACCACGGTAAGTTATTCTACCTTGAATACATTGCCTATACCTATGCCTCGTGATTGTGAACGGGTATACTGACGTATATTTACCATTACCAGTCTTTGCTGGAAAGGACCCCTCCCGCGCCCTCGCCTCTTCGTCGCTCAAAGCCGAGGACTGCAAACCCGATTGGTATGACCTGGAGGACAAGGAGAAGACAGTCCTGGATGAATGGTTCACATTCTTCAGCAAACGCTACAACATCGTGGGAAAGGTGCAGGATGCTACGAACCACTAAAGGAAATAGTTAGCAGCGATGTTTGGAGATAATCAATCTTTCTCTAATGCAAGAATTATACCCGTGAACTCTACTTTTACGCGAGCTACTCCAATGCAGATGCGCTTAACAGTGCACCGCCAGAATCCGAAAAATGAGCTTGTTGACAGATATCATTAGCTATTTACTCCATATATAACCCGCATTGACTTTTATCTATGTACCCGGCCTTAAGCCTTTCCCTTCCGAGATCGTCGCTGCATCCGCTTCTTCGCGATAATACGATTCCGCTTTGCAAGCTTATTCTGTTCCTCATCATCTTCCTCATTAGCGCCCTTGTCGTTGTTGTCAGAGCGCTTTCTCTTCTTCCCATTGGGGCCTCCCTTGTTATTCTTGCCCTCGTCCTTATCCGCCGAACCTTCACCATCTTGCTTGCCCTTCTTGAAGGTACGTGCCTTAGCCTGCTGTTCCTGCCGGCGCTTGACAACCTGGGCGTTCTCAATGGCGAACTCGACGATCAGACGCTTCTTCTTTTCCTTGTTGTCTTCCGAGCCAGTCGCAGGTGCCTCAACAGCGTGGCCATTGAGCCATCTGAGAGCCATTAGAGCATGGCGGTGGGTATAGTATTCAACGAAACCGTAACCTCTGCTTCTTCCCGCAGCCTTTTCCTCACCAACCTTGTGACCATCCCGAGTTTCGAAAACGATCTTCGCTTGTCTCACAACACCAACACCCTTCTTCTTCCGCAACTGCTCTGCCTCTCTCATGATGTCGGCCGCGCGGTTCAGTTCATCCTTAGACAGAGGTTGCCGCAGGCCCTTCTTCGCATCCTCTGCGAATCCGGCGATCGCTTGACGAGCGAGCTGTTTCAGATCTTTTGTGGTGACGTGACGAGGGATATTACGGATCGACAAACGCGTCAAACTGAGATGGAGGGCCGGGTTCTTCTTGATGAAATTCTGTCGTTGCTTGTAGCTGTCTTCTCTCATCTTGATCTCTGATGGCGACAGCTTCTTGTAAAGGGCGGAGTTCGTTGGGATGGTACCCTCAGAAAGCAGGTAGAGGCGGCGCTTGTCGGTATCGCGGACGAGTCGGCGAGACACCCCCTCTTCCTCTAGCTGTGAAGCGCGAGATTTGCTCACTGCGCGGGCGACTTGTAGTACGCGACCCTCCAAGGTATACCGTCCGGTGGGGTCGGCGTTTTCGTTCTGTAGAATGGAATGCTTGTAGGCGGTAGACGCTTTCTTCGACTTATCTTTCTCTGCGACAAGGGGATCTTGTTGTTTAGGGGCGTCGCGCACACAGGCTGCTGCATCGTCGGGCTTCCAGAAGCAAGCAAAACCAGTACCACGGGGACGCTCGGTTTCGTGGTCGACGACGATTCGGGCATAGCGAAGGGGACCGAATTGGGTGAAGTGTTCGTAGAGCATATCATCGTCGCAGGTGAACGGAAGGTTTCTGATGAAGATAGTCGAAGCGTTCCTTTCGTCTTCCTTCTCTCCCTCATCCTCGTCCTCGTCCTCCTCAGCATCCTCATCCTCATCAACGTCGCTATCATCTTCCATGTCGTCGTCCTCGCCAGAATGGGCTTCTTCATCAATGCCAACTTCTGCTTCGATGGCATCCTCCATGTCGGCATCTTCTGACTCCTCCTTTACATCCTTTTCTTCTTCCTCGTTGTCCTTTTGTAGATCCTCCCAGACGTTCTTCTCGACAGCCCAATCGACAGCGAGTGTTCTTCCGTCCACCTCCTTTCCGTTCACTGCCTGCAAGGCCTTCTCGGCGTTCTTCTTTCCGCGCAAAACAACGAAACCGAAACCAGCCAACTGGCTTCCCTTCTTGGGAAGGGTAACATATTTGACCTTTCCGAAACTGCGGAAGAGAACCGCCAAGTCTTCGGGTTCCTTGATGCTCCACGGCAAGTTTCGAACAATCAGCTTAGGCTGAGCGGCCGCCCTCTGATCCTCTCTCTTCTTCTTCTGTTCAAGAGCTTCAGCCGAAGGCTTGCTCCTTCCAAGGTTCTCATCAACAACACGGTGACGCGGTTGAGCGTATTCAACCTTGATCTTCTTGCCCTCGAAAACAGAGCCATTGAACTCCTCCAGCGCGGCCTTTGCGTCTTCGAGATCCGCAAATGTCACGAAACCGTATCCCTTCGATTGTTTCGTCTCAGGGTCTGTGACAGCAACGGCATGCTTGATAACGTAGGATTGCGAGAAATATTCCGTCAGGCTCTCGGTCGTCGTGGAGGCGGGAAGCGATCGGATGAAAAGCTCTCTCCTGGGCTGGTTGGAAGCCGGTGTCTCCTGTGCTGGCTTCTCGGTTTGTATGTCCATGTTGGTATCAGGGGCAGCGCTGCCCTTGATCTCGCTGGCTTCAGGGGAACTCATCTTGGGCTTGTTCCTCTCAGCCTTGATTGGTGTTTTTGAGTAACTTTTTTTTCTGTCGCAGAATCAGCGGCAGAAAAATCCCGATGCTGTTTTTTGCCTTTTGGAGGCAAAAGCGGGTCTGCGGGCGGTGAGGAGGGTTGGGTCTCCACCGTGCTCCATCTACTTTCATGATACATATCAGTCTAGATCTTTCCTCTTGCTGTTGTCTGCATTTCGATATCTTTGTCTGCTTTTATGCGTTCGATAACTGTTGTTTGCAGACAGAAGACCTCCCTCACATATGCAGAACGAGGTTGGTGATACTCAATGGCATATGCCATACTGAACTAGATGGTGCTATGCTAAACCTGACGAAAGCGTATGCTTTCCCAATGTTCAAATGGCGGAGTCAGAGGCTCCATATGATCAAGCCTTCATCCGCCTGTCTACTATGGCTAATCCTCTCCTCATGGCATCATCTAGAGGATGTACCCCAAAGTCACATGATGTATCTACCACGTGACCTATATCATCGTTACCAATCGGAAACCCTTGTATGGCCCACCTACTCCTGCCAAGGACTGGTGTAAGTCGAAGTGATATGACAACATCCAGGGTCCCGTTCGCTTATATTCTGCGAAACACTTGATGCAGTAGCTTTCTATCTCCTCCAAAACAATAGCGGATGATACCGAGGGCAAAGAAAGTAGTATGGACCCAGTAGCACGTTCCGAATCGGCTACGCCTCGAGCATCTGGTGCCTCGACACCGCAGCCATCATCTAAGGTCCAACAGCCTAAGCCACAAGCACTCCCCAGCAGGTCTGGCCCATCTGCCATCCTCGTGTCAACACGACAAAAAGGCAATCCGATATTGAATCATATCAAACTACTGCCATGGGAATATGCCGACATACCGGCCGATTATGTGGTCGGAAGCACTACCTGTGCTTTATTTCTTTCCTTGAAGTACCACCGCTTACATCCCGAATATATCTACTCGCGAATCCGTCTCATAGCAGGAAAATATCTGTTACGAATTATCCTGATTATTGTGGATATTCCAAACCATGAGGAAAGCTTGAAGGAGCTTTCGAAGACATCCATCGTCAACAACATGACGCTGATCCTTTGCTGGTCTGCACCTGAAGCTGCACACTACCTTGAACTGTTCAAGTCTTCTGAAAACTCCCAACCCACTGCTATTCGCACGCAACAAGCCCAGTCATATAAAGAATCTCTTGTTGAGTTCGTCACGACACCCCGGAGCATTAATAAATCAGATGCAGCTAGCTTGATATCTACGTTCGGAAGCCTGCAGAACGCAGTTAATGCGCAACCTGAACAGATTAGTGCAGTACCTGGATGGGGAGAGAAGAAGGTCAAGCAGTGGTGTACTACAGTAAGAGAAGGCTTTAGGGTGGAGTCGGCGAAGAGGAAAACTCGCGGAGGGATCGCTGGAAGTCATGCAACTGGCGGGGTTGAGGGCCAAGAAGACAAGCCTTTCAATCCTTCAGAAACAAATGAAGACACGGCCGCAGAAATGATCCTAGCTGATGCAGAGGATGGTCGCCTAGAAGCACGGAGACAAGTCGTCGAAGACCGTCGAATGCAGGAGTCGAGTCAGCAGGAGGAGGGGATGAGTGAGGGCATCATGGCGGCTCTTGCGAAGTATCGAGAGGACGGTGGTTGATCCCTTATCAGGTGGACTCTTTCATAATACGGAGACTGGTATAATAAAGAAATATTGCCTTCCACCTACCAACAACTTGTTCCAGCTTGCAGTCCAGATACCAAGTGAGAGCTGGAGTTAATAATACAACTTCCCATTTACGTATTGGGCGTTATATTACTTTCTCGTATTCCGGAGAGTATACAGTGGGATGGCACAAGTGCACGTGACTTGATGTGTATGGGGTGGGGTTTCTATGGCTTAATATTTTCCTGAGCCAACCATTAACTCTATGGCTGACTCGGTTAGAGTTACAATATAGGTAGGGCTGGTCAGCTTAGCGGGAAGTAGTAGAAGATGACAGAAGCTTAGCCA